ATAAAACAAGTTTGAACTTCAAAGCATTAATAAGAATCAGTAAAAAAAAAACTTTTTTACTTCAAAGCATTAAAACAGTCAGTAAGAAAAGCATTTTTAACTTCAAAGCATGAAAACAATCAGTAAGTAAAGCATTTTTAACTTCAAAGCATTAGAGTCAGTAAAAAAAGCATTTTTGACTTCAAAGCATCAAAGACAATCAGTAAAAACATTTTCGATTTCAAAGCATTAATAAGTAAAAAATATATATTTTTGACTTCAAAGCATAAAAAACAATCAGTAAAAAACATTTTTTTTTAGTTCAAAGCATTAATAACAATCAATCCAAAATATATTTTTGACTTCAAAGAATCAAAGACAATCGGGAAAAAACATTTTTGATTTCAAAGCATTAAAACAATCAGGAATAAAGACAGTTTTTACTTCAAAGCATTAATTAGAATCAGTAAAAAAAAGCATTTTTTACTTCAAAGCAATTAATTAGAATCAGTAAAAAAAAAAAAAGCTATTTTGACCACAAAAAAAATTAAAACAATCAGTAAAAAAGACATTTTTTACTTCAAAGCATTAATAAGAATCAGTAAAAAAAATAAAGCATTTTTTACTTCAAAGTATTAATAACAATCAGTAAAAAAAGATATTTTTGACTTCAAAGCATCAAAGACAATCAATAAAAAACATTTTTAACTTCAAAGCATTAATAAGAATCAGTAAAAAAGGTGTGAACTGTAAAACTGAAAACAGTTATTTCTAAATGCCACTTTCTGCACATTCAGCTTCAAATATGTGGGTTAGGATTCATAAAATACCCAATCTTTATCTTTATTAGCACTTTATCTTTATTGGGCTAATTTGTAACACAAGATAATAAAGCAAAAAAAAGAAATAAAGTCCATATTAAAGTCAAAGGAACCTCTGGTTTAGTCAGAAGCAGCTCTATTACAAACATGACAAACATGCTAGCATCAATGCTATGCTACAGTGCTAATGCTAGCATGGATGCTATCACTAAAACGCTCTTAGCGGGTGTGTTAGTTTAAAGCATTTTTTGGAAGTTTAATGCATTTTAGAGTTAGTATTCGTGTCTGGGTATGAAAGAGGAGGAGCACAACTGTCTGCTGACTTTTTAAAAGTTCAGAAAAAGTGGATTTTCGGACATGAATCCGGCCACTGTGCTTCTGGAAACCCGTTTCCACGTTTCCATTTCCCTCCCACTGCACAGATCCGACTCTGTGCAGGTTCTGTTTGCTTTAGCTCAAATAAACACTTTATTTCCATTTCATTTCCTCCAGATCACCTGCAGAGAAGGGACTCAAACGTGAGGCATTTTTCTCTGCTGTCAAATAAAGTCCGACCATCAGAATAATCGGACTGAAGAGGAACTAGGACTCTGGAGGATCTTAGTTTAGTCCTAAATAATTGCCAAAGTTTCCCCCTGTGTGACTTCAGATGTGAGAAAGGTAGCAGACTTGAGCTAAAACCTCCAGTTACAAGTTACTACAAAGGAGTCACTTAATAAACCCCTCAAATACATTTCAAAAGATCTTTGACTGAATGTTGCTCCTAAAATTATACTTTCTGCTCTCAAATGAGAAACTATTAAAAAATATTTCAGCTTCATTATTCACGTTTGACTATTTTCTCCATATTTCAGCTTTTTTGTGCCTTTTTGACAC